GAGAGAGAGAGAGAGAGAGAGAAGAAGAGAGAGAGGAGAGAGAGAGAAAGCAGAGAGATACAGAGAGAGGGGAAGTGATAGAGAGAGAGAGAGAGAGAGAAGCGAGAGAGAGAGGAGAGAAGAGAGAGAGAGAGAGAGAGAGATAAGAGAGGAGAGGCAGAGAGAGAAGAGAGAGAGAGAGAGGGCTAAGCTGTGCCATTGGGTTATGCTACACACCAAGCATAGGGCATGCCATTCAAAGAAATAACTAGAAGCATTGAAAAACATTAATTTTCCCACCCTCTTAAGAGTTTGGCTTCAGCATATACGATTCACCAGTGAAGAAGGCTAAAATGCAACTCGCCTACTTTTGAAGGGCTGTAGCTCCTAAATTGCTGAAATAATGGGCAAACTAGCAAATAACGGTTTAGCATACAACTTAGAGCAGACTTGATGTGTGTGGCACAAATGTAAATGTCACCTGGAAAGGAGTACAGTTTTACCTTGATAAGTGTGTGCATACCACCCATTGGAAAGAGGATGCCACAACCAAATCATCAGGGCAGCATAAAAAGTAAATGAAAAATTTAATAGAAATAAAAGATGCCAAAAGTCATCAATGTAATTAGTAGAAGATCACAACTGAGAAGTGTGTTTTAATGCATTTCAAATTTATTTATTTAAAAGTTCAGCCAAAGGTAAATACTGTTTTATTGAAATTTATGTTAACTGATAAATAAGAAGAAACACCTTCAAACCAAGGGAAATAGGAAGTTCATTTTTTTTCCAGTCATACATGAGCATCCCTAAGTCCAGATGGAGGTAACCAATTTTCAAAAACAGGAAGTGGTATAGATCTCATTTATGAATACATTCCCTCCCAATACCTTACTTGTTGTTGTGGGAGGGCTTAGGAGTCTGAGGCCCAATGTAGGAAATCACCCCTACCTTGGGCCTCAGCTCTTGCCTCAACTAATTTTGCTTGGTCTTTTCTTCTCCCCCTTTCCTCTTGTGTTTCTTCTTCATCCCCTTCTATCCCATTCCTAAGGTGTGAGAGCTGTACTCAAAGGATGAAAGGCTGGCTTTGTGTGTCATGAATAGCCTCCAGGAACCATTAGCACAGTATTCCCTTGGTTAATTGCCTGGCCCTTACCCCGTATGGGGTCCCTGAGAGGTAGGCCGTTTCTTTTCTTCATTTTATTCAGGCTCACCATTGCCAATATTGAAGATTCTTTACCCTTGATAGGGGTATTAAGGCTTGCCCCTTCATCAACTAACCTATCTAGATTTGATTTTGTTGGTTTTCCAACCCCTGCCCCTCCTTTGACCGTGGCTCCGACCACTGATACTAATACCTCTTCTTCAACGCTTACTAACAACTCTAACCATTCCAAAACTCCCACCCAGGTTATTACTGAACCTCCAGAAAACACCCCTTCCTCTCTCCCAACATTGTACTCTCCATCTCCAGCTGCACTCTTCAATGTCTACCCCCTCTTCCCTTATTACTACTCTTTATCCTTATTGTCCTCCTCCACACAGAACTACTCCACTCCACACCACCTCTCTTTCTCTTGCCCTCATCCTTTTACTGCCTCTACCTCTGCAAACCTTTTGAGTACTCTCTATGGACCAGTCAAGTGGGATCAGTTCTTTGTGATTCCCCCACAGCCCCCTATTCTGAGAATACCCTTCTCTTTCAACAGTGCTTCCAGAAACAAGTAGGTAAGGTTACCATATGCAGTCACTCCAATAGTTCACACCTTGTCACAGTTATATCTGAATTCCAAGCTCATGCACTATCTGCCCTAACTGACCTCACTGGCAAACCCATTCCTCACCCCTCTCTTAATACATGTACTAGAATTGTTTCTATCCCCCCAAATGCTTGTCCTATCTACAAGGCCTGGTCAGACTGTGAAAATTACCTACTTACCTGTCTTGCTGATTATGATGTAGTGGCAGTACAGTATCTCCTCTTCTCCCCCTCACAAGAGAACCTCTGTTTCTCAGTCCTATTCACCCAACTCCCTTCCAGAAAGCCTTGAAGACATCCAGAACTTCCTAAAGATGACCCAAGGGCACACTCCACTCCCTCATCCACTCCCCAATCCCTCTGTTCTTACTCCTCATTTAAAACTTTATATTTGCAGATATCCATCCTCCTCCTCCTCCTCAAGTTCCCTCCATCCCTCTTCCTCCTACACCCACAAAACATATCCCACCCAGAATACTCACATGAATCCCCTCTATCACAACAGTGTCCTTCTCCAGTCCCCGCTGCTCCAAACATTCTTCCTGATACTTCACCACCTTCCTCAGTCCCCCTTTCTCATCCCTAGGATTTGTCTTCTCCTACTTCTCCAACTGCCACCTCGGTTTTCCTTGAATAATGTCCCTATTTCTTCTCCAATCACAGATAGAATCCAATTTACTCAATTGCTCTACCTCCTTAACCTTTCCCGTTTTAATAATCCCTGCTCTACTTCATTTACTTCCCTCTTTTCCCTTTACACTACCATACTTTCCTATAACACTCTCTAATCTGTGACATATAACACCCTCCCCTCTTTCTGGATTCTTCTTGTACTTTTCCAACTGCCATTTCTTTTTTCCTTGAACATTATTCCTAAACCTTTCCCAGTGACAGATACACTGCAATTCACTCAATCACCTTACCCCCTTAACCCTCCCCTTTCTACTAATCTCTGCTCTAGTTCACTTACTCCCCTCTTTTCCCTTTTCACTACCATAATATCCTATAACGCTCACAAGTCTTTGACATTTAACACATTTTATCCTACTCTTTAACTCAACTTTACTCTTTCTGACACCATACTTTACCATAGTGCTTTGATGTCTAGCACATTTATTTGTTTCAAACATTAAAAATTAAAAATTTATATATACGTTTATTCAGTGTGCTCTCTACAATTCAAAATTTTGTAACTTGGAAAGGCAGTGATATTGCACACAAATTGACAGATTTAATTTTGTAAATGTAATACTCATTCTATTTTGGCAGTTTTTATATATGAAAAGAATACATTTAACTTCCATTCTTTCATTTCTTTCATGAGAAAACTAAAATATATAACAAACTTCTCTATCCTTTTGTTTGAATGTTACAATAGTTCATACATAATTTATCTAATTTTCTCTGATATTAGAAAAGTTTAGGTCATTAGTTCACTTTCTAGGGAAGTCATCCCCTAGAATCAAGCACTATTGATATATACATTTTTTTTTTATCAAGGAAATTTGTAATATGCAATTGTACTTCTGGCTATTGTACTGAATTAATCATCACATGCAGGACAGTCAGAGTAAGGAATTCAAGAAAGATTTTCTTTTTTCTTTTTTCCTTTTGCTCTGTGGTAGCATGCTAACCTTCCTTTCTGATGGACAAGCATTCACTAGGATAGACTGGCCACAAACCAAAGCCACAATTTCCTTAAGGGTTGGGAAGTCTTAGGTCTAGAATCAGATCACAGAAGAAAATAGAAAAATAAAGATATTAATGCATATAACTATATGTCACAGCACTGAGTATTTGTTTCTTAAGATTAAGTTCACTGAGTTCACAAGGCTATCATGACACAGTACAAAATTTTTACTCTCAGATCCAGAATAGAAGACCATGACAATGACACTAGGAGTGGATGCATCTCAAACTGCAAAACCAAAGGTAAATAAGATACTCTGTCTCTTGGGGTCTGTGTGTTATCTTTGCAAGTTTGAGTGAATATCTTTTTGTAAGTCAGTTTAGACGTTTTGACATGTATGTGCATGTAATGTAATGGAGTTTTATTTTTTCTAACAGGGTAAACTAACTCGTCCGAAGCCGTGTTATCTTTGGACTACGGCAGATGTTCAAAAGTGGTTCAAGCGGCACTGTAGTGAATATTTTCAGCTATATTCCCATCTTCTCATTCAGGTTCGTAAAACTGAGATGCAGGTAGACAAATGTATAAATACAGACCTATATGTAAGAATTTTTGAATAATTATTTATATTGTTATGATTGTTATTATTATTATTGTTATTATTATTAATTTTCTAAGTAAAAGTAGTTAGTGAAGGCATATATATATATTACATATTTTTAGATGGAAGACCGCTGAATGATTGGTACTTGCATGAAAAAAGGGGGGTTGCTAAAATATTTAACCAGTATTAGAAAGGAGCCATAGCAAATTATTTTGATTGATATATTATATCACTTTCAGCATGACATCACTGGCAAGGCCCTTGTGAGGATGACGGAAGGAACCCTCATCAGGCTAGGCATAGCACATCCAGAGCATCTCGAGGCCATATGGCGTGAGATTCTGAAGCTGAGGCTAAAGGCGGACATTCAGGAGATGAAAGAAATTGAAATGAGTTCCATCATCTCCTAAAGCAAAAAGAAGGGGAGGTATGAGAGTGATAAAATCAAATTCCATTATCTGCTTCTCTTTTGTGTGATAAAAAAACAGTGTAGTAGCTTTAATCTAAACATATAAATAGGGTTTTTATGTTTATTGATGTAAGACATGGATGGCAGAAATTTTTCATTTGCTTGATTTTCAAGAAAATCTTGGCATTTGATATAATATTCATAAGACTTGTACCTTTAATAATATATTGCCCAGGAAAAATGAGTCAGGTAGACTGTTTATTCCATCAAATATTCAGAAGTGTGTTTACTCATACTGTTTAATGTTAGTGAATATTCTTTTGGCAAACTACAGTCCTAGTCATTTTTATAAGTTGTTTGATTTTACACAATATGAATTAAATTTGATTTTGTATACCCAGTACTATCATTTGACATTAGAAGAAATGTCCCTTATCATTTTTGTTGTGTAGACTAGTTTTTGGCTATGTTAGTTTTGATGTCCTTTTTTTTCAAAATCTCACTACTTGCTTGTCACTAGTTACCAAAAAGAAAATACCAGTATTCTAGGCAGTGCAAATAGAGGGAACAGTTGAGTTTCTTTCCATGAATATTTTTAAAAATCTAAACATATTAATTACATAATTTCTTCTTAATAAGTAAGTACTTTTGGAGCCCTCTATATGTAAACAGAGGTAATATAACAAAACCTCAAGACAGTGAAAGAATTGGAATAAGTTTTACCTCTCTCATTTACCTGCACATTGAAAAAGATACTGTAGCAACTATTGAACTGTATATATTGGCAGTGGTAGTATGTACTGATTGTAGGATTGTGATGACATGAAATGTCATACAATGACTGGGATAATAGGGACCCACTTGGAATTCACATCCCTAATATCAAGAGTTAACCCTTTTCACTCAGAGAACTAGTGGCCTTAAATTTATTTGTTGTTGTACTAGAAGAAAATTGTCTTTGATTAGATTTTCACACTTTAAAGTAATATTTGATACCCAGGCATGAATTTGAATTTTATACCTTCCGGCCACTAATTAGAGGTAGAAATGCAACTTGGTAAATTCCAAATGCTTTTTATAGAACATTATTTTTTTCCATTTCTTGCAAAGAATGATATCAAAGAGCTTTACCTTATCAAATAAGAAGCTCATAATGTTTCCAGACAGTATTATTAAAGTATATGTATCAGCTGTAATATGAAATTGTTCTATTTTTAATGGTATAAGTTTGAAATACTCTGTGACTTTTTCTTTAACCTTTTGTAATGTTGAAATTTAGAATTGCATAACAAAAGATGTCAAAACCCAAGTGTTCTATGAATTCCACTTTATATACCATGAACCAAATCATGTATTTTTGCATTTAAGTTTGTAACTATCCTTGTAAAAAACTATGGTAATGTATTGTAATGCATTTTGAAACCATTTCAATGTTAGCCATTATATAGGCTGTTTTGCATGTGAATTTTTTGATATTTTGAAAATAAAATGTATATCTGTATTTGGCGATAATTGAGTGGATTGTATAGAATTCTGTCATATTTATCATTCCATGGTTCATGGAACAAGTTATTTTGTTTACGTTTATTATGTTACCATCTTTTTGGTAATATGAAATTTTGTTGTAACATCAGTTGTTACAGATTGCTCCTTTATAGGCATTATGATTCATCTTTTTGTTTTATTTTTTAAGTCAAAAGATATTGTCATGACAGTATTTTGCTGAGAGAGTAAATTATAACTACAATGAGAAATTTTCGAATTTAACCCCTTGTGGGATAGATGGTCAACTTTCCACTAAAAACAGATATGAAGAAAATGTTTGTTTTAAGAAATGTTGGCAATGAGGAAGAAAACTGAAAATGTATGCTATTCTCATTTATTGACATCATTTTATATTGGAGGAGTGTGGAAGGTGGTGGCTGGTGAATGTGAGGTTTGGATGAGATAAGGATGGTCAGTTCGGTGAGACAGGCTCCTCTTATTCCTTATATCTTATTCCTTAAACCTGGTAACCATCAGTCTTGAAAGATCTTGGAAGAAAGAATAAAAAAGCAATTTTATCTATTTGTTATTGTCTCTATTCATTGGATATTTGCAGATGTTTGTGTGCCCTTTGGTTTTTCTTTTAATGTTGTGTATATGTGCTTTTGTGTGGCATTGAAATAAATTAGCTAATTGGAAACAGAAACCCTGTCCATGTGAACAAGCAATGTATGTTGGGATTTGTCTGTTTTTATGTCTGTGGAAACATGTTGTCCACATGAGATGTAATCAAAGTCAGGCAGGAATAAGAGGAGGTACCCAACAGGGCTGTGTGTGCTATGATAACCATGGCGAGCAATAACAAGAATTATTATTGTGGAAAAAGGGCCTTACACTTGTGGTCACTGTTCAGTTTGCCTTTGGATGCAAGCAAAGTCTGTCAGCAGGCCACCAACTCATTTTTGCCCTGTTGAATGCTTTGTGTTTGTTTTTGTGTCCATCTTTATGTGTGAGGAGAGTAGAAAGAACAATGGTAACTGGAAAATTTTTAACCGAGAAGTAATTTCATAGGACCTGTTCTCACCTAGTTTTATGTAATATTACAGGGCATACAAGGGGTTAATGTGAGCCTAAGCTTTTTAATGGCTTAATTTCTTCCACTTTGAATTTGATGTTCTGTCTTTTTTCAGTTTTATTGTTTTACATTTTTTTCATAACCTTTTCTTTTTTGGGGTGTCTTTTTGTCACATCCTTTTCTTTTCTTGATATATTTAGTATCTAAGTGTCTCTTTTTCCTATGCTGTTATGCACAAAATTCAAAACATATCAATACTCTGTAGGAAACTGAATATTCATACAAGCTCATTGTGATGTAGACTTATTTTTAGAGCTCATTAGTTGATTACCTCCCCTCAGCTCAAGATATATAATATATTAATTATTGTTCAGAGCATTATTACAATCATTACTGTGATTTTTTTCATGTACCAATATTCTTAAATGTGCCTTCTCAGTGTGTAACTAGTTTCCCAATCTATAGGTGCCATATTGTTTATGGTATATTGTATTGATAGCTTTTAGCACATGACAGGACACTGCGTTTTGTTCACCCCAGCAGTATTATTAAAGACTTGAGTTTGCTAAAGGTAGATATTAATTGATGCTGATGCTGAAGGATTCAAAATTGATCCTTGCTTGTTTAATCTGTATTGACAAAAGCAGTAAAAGGCATATTTTTGAGAATGACACGGTGAATAGTAGGTGTTCCCACTTTGGCTTTTTAAGTTGCATGTTAAATTAGGAACAGTGAACATCCTGATCCTGAAGACTTTTAGAAATTAAATGATAACAGAAAGCCATATGAGATTCTTTTTATTACTTCCTACATTAATGCAATGGGAAAATGTACATACAAAAAAATTGTACACATTTTTTCTTTTCTCACATTTTCAGTATTGTTTAATGACACTGGATATCAAGATATGAAGAGAGTTACATTAGTTACTAATTTTTCAAAAAAGGGCTTGAAAAGTGTTTTCTGGTTTCTTTATGCAGAAAAATGGTGTTTACCTTATTGAATTTAAAAATCATTATTTTGGCAACATATTTATTACTATTGTTACCCCCATATTACCAGTTGTTATTGATGGGGCCATAGGGGACAGACAAGCACAATATTGGAGATCACCCCAACCCTAAGCCTCAGCTCGTACTACAACTAAATTCTCATGGTCTTCTCCTCCCCTATTTTTCCATCTCTTCTCCTATTCATCTTCAGTCCACTTTCTAAGAAGTGTAATAGCCATGCTGAAAGGATGACAAGCTGGCTCTGTCCTGAACAGTCTTGGAGAGCCATGGGCACAGTATTCCCTTGATTAATCTTTAGGCAAACCACTTCTCATCCCCACATATTTGAAGCTTACCATGGTCAGTAATGAAGGTTTTGTACCCTTATATGGATTACTGAGACTTGCCCCTTCATGAACAAGCCTATCTGAAATTGCCTCCCCTTTGATAACGGCTCTATCAATTGCTACTGCTACTCCATCATTAATGCTTACTGTCAACTTGATCTACTATCTACTTCCTAAGGTGTAAGAGCCATGCTGAAAGGATGAAAGGCTGACCTTGTGCCAGTCCTGAACAGCCTGCAGGAACCATGGGCATGCTATTCCCCTGATTTCTAGCCCTTACCCTTTTAAGGGGCACTGGGGGGGAGGGATAGACTGTTTATTTCCCCCTACATAATCAAGGCTTCCCATGGCCAGTAATGAAGAAGTAATACCACTATTAGGGGCAATGAGGCTTGCCCCTTCATCAAATAGCCCCACTAATTCAGACTCTACCAGCTCCCCGACCCCAGGCTCCAAACGCTGAAACTACTACCCGCTCCTCAATGCCTACTAGTGCACCCAAGCCGAGACTCAATCTCCAGAAGACATTCCTCCCCTTCCAACTTCCTCAAATTCATCAACTCTACCCCCACAACATTCTTCATCACGCACCCCACCCTCCCTTATTACTGCCTTACAGCCTTATTCTCCATCTCTCCGTAATACTACCCCCCTCAGCAATACTCACTCTTCCACACGTCCCCGACCGTCCACCATCACCAACCCTACAAATATCTTAAATGCTATATTTAGCCCAGCTAAATGGGACCGTTTTTTCGTGATCCCTTCTACAGCTCCTTACTCGAGCAACGCTCTTTTCTTTCAACAATGCCTCCAAAAACAAGTGGGCAGAGTCCCTTTCCATACCAGACGCGATCGCTCCCGTCTCATAACAGTCAGATCAGAAACTGAAGCTATAGCATTACCAAATCTAACTGATCACTCTGGCAACCCCATTCCTGTAGAAACTCATCCAACTCTTAATAATTGTACTGGGACTGTCTCTCTCTCCCCAGCAAACTGCCCAGTCGATACCAATGATTAGTCAGACTATGGAGAAGACTTACTCGAATGCTTCAAAGACCGATACGTGAAATCAGTACATTGCTACACCATTCCTCCCCCCCCAATCTATTGCCCGTTGTTGTCGTGGGGGGGCTTAGGGGACGGAGACTGACACCCAATGCAGGGATCTCCCCTGCCTAAGGCCTCAGCCCTTGACTCAACTAATTTTGCATGGTCTTTTCCCCCTCCAGCTTTTGTTTCCATCCCTTCTCCATCCCCTTCTATTATCTACTTCCTAAGGTGTGAGAGCCG